CCTTCCCCTCCCTTGCCTTCCCTTGCCTTTCTCTTTCCTTTCCTTTCCCTTTCCCTTCTTTCCCTTTCCCTTTCCCTTCTTTCCCTTTCCCTTTCCCTTTCCCTTTCCCTTTCCCTTTCCCTTTCCCTTTCCTTTCTCTTTCCTTTCCTTTCCTTTTTTTTTTCTTTTTCAACCTTGTGTTATATCACAGATTTTAAGGTCTCCAGTCATTATGCTGTGGCTCTGTCTTGAATTCCATGAAATGTTTCCTATCAAACTTGGAGACCATATGCCCATGTTGGCCTAAAATTCTCAGTGCATCATGTACCAGAAATAGAAGCTGGTAAAGATTCTTCAGAGATTGTGTTCACTTGTTCCAAAGACCTGGTTTGTTTATGGAAGGGATGCTTGCAGTACATAAACACTATTTAAGGAGAAATGTCTCCAAAATGTAGAACAGTTGTTCTCTTCTCCTTCTCATCTTAATGGTATTTTTAAGGAAAGCTATACAACACCCTATATTGAGTCTCATTTACAAGTAGGCATTAGGATCTTGGTAGGAAAGAGCAAGCAGAGAATAATTTTTGGAAAACCTACATTAGATACTTCACTCAGTTCCTCATAAACTTTCTGAAATTATTTACAGTGGAATTTAAAAGTAGGTTTCTCCATTTTTAGTAGCTGTACAGTTTTACAGATTGCAATCTGTAACATTCAGTCTGGACGTTGGTCTATTTTAATTAATACTTTCATAGCCATGAATTTTAAATTTTTTTTTTTCCAGGCAAATGAATAGGAATAAGGCTAAAATGGATAGAAATTAATAGAACAAAAAAGTGACAAGCAATCTACAGCCTCTCACTGAAGAAAGCTTCACAGAATCGCTGAGTCTGGAAGGCAGCTCTGGAGGTCATCTAGTCCAACCCCACTGCTCAGAGCAAGGTCAGCCAGAGCAGGGTACTCAGGGTTGTGTCCCATCAGGTTTTGAGTATCTCCAAGGACAGAGACTCCACAGCCTCTCTGGGCAACCTGTTTCTGTGTTCAACCACCCTCACAGTAAAAAAGCTTTTCCCTTACATTCACATGGAATTTCATGAATTTCCAATTGTGTCTTTGCCTCTTGTCCTCTCACTGGGCACCACTGAGAAAAGCCTGCCTCCATCTTCTTTACTTCCCCCATCAGGTACATATTGATAAGATCCCCCTGAGCCTTCTCTTCTCCAGGCTGCAGTCCCAGCTCTCTCAGCGTCTCCTTGTATGACAGATGCCTGAGGCCCTTAATCATCTTTGTGGCCCTTCACTGGACTCTCTCCAGTACATCCATGTTTTTCTTGTACTGGGGAGCCCAGCATTGGACACGGCACTGCAGGTGTGGCCTCACCAGGGCTGAGCAGAGGGAAGGATCACCTCCCTCGACCTGCTGGCAATGCTCTGCCTGATGCAGCCCAGGAGGCTGTCGGCACTTTTATATGGGTTAGCTTTAAAAAATACAAATGTGGGAGGGGGTGTGTGTGTTTCTTTTTCTTCTTTTTTTTTTCCTGTTTCTTTTTCAGGAGATGCCTTCCTAAATGGCTGTAGGGGTTGATCATAGCTATAGTCCATTCTTACTTCCTAAAGCTATCAAAAAGGAAGCCATCAAATATTTTTGCTGAAAGTGGGATCACAGGACAGAATAAGATGATTATGTTAGAACCAACCACTTAGACACAGACTCTGCCTTGTCTTATTATCTGGAAGTGTTTGGAATGGATTGGATTAGATGAAAATGTCCATTACAAAAAGGCCACTACTTTTCAATATTTACCACACCGTGGTATCTGGGATACCACACTTTCTCCCTAAGCTCACAATAGGAAATAACTATGGTAATTGTGTGGTATGGGTTGGCAAATGTTGATTTTTCTGAATGGAAGCCATTCTAGCAACAGCACATAACAAGATCTGCAGTGAGGCTGCAGTCCCAAGCGTATTGAAAACAATAGGTGGACATAGTCCGCTTTGGATCCCACCCTAGTAACAGCTTTCTCAAGGGGACTGCATGAGACTCATATTATAGTTACTTCAGTTCCTGAAGTAGTATATAAGCTATAGCTGCCCATATGAAAAGTTTTCTTGTTATATTTTTTCATTAGTTAAAATTAATGGTCCTAAGGGGAATTTTTTAAAGTACGAGTAACAGGTAAATGTTACCTCACTGGTTTTCACCGAGAAGTAGACACCTAATTGACATTTCCTCTCTGAGTCCTGAAGACTTCTATGAAACTTTAGATCCTCATTTGAATTAGAAATTATTCTTCCAGTGTAGTTTCCAGATTTGGGGTGCAAATTTGGGAGGATGTAGGTGATCAAAAGGCAATGGGACTGAGACTTCTAAGACACTTAATGGGTTTTGAAATTTTTACCCCTGAGGAGCCTTTCCCCTGCTGGTTTTGGCAGCCCTCAGCCAAAATCTACAAATGAGAGTTCCTCCTCTCAGCTGCTGGCTTTCTGAGCCATTTTCTATATAAATAGAGATCACGTGGACTTTAATAAGGTCAGGGAATGTTTTTTAAATGTCTGTGATTTTTTTTTTCCCTCAAAACTTAATTTTGCCCATCTGATTTCTGTGGAAGTGGGAACAGATGCCAGAAGCTGAGAACTCCAGCAGCTTTGTGCTCACGCTTACAGCAGAGCACTTGTGGGATTGGGACCCTCAATTACTATCACATGTAGAGTTACATATTGGCTCTTAGCTGAGATCTGCAAATGCACTCTGGTTGTTCTACCATGTCAAAGTTAGGGGTGTTTAAGGAAATATGGATGTATCTTTGCTCCATTTTTATCTGTTCATTTGATAAGAGAGATTAGTTCATGAAAGAAGGGATACGTGGGGTGCCTTCTTGCACATAAATCCTCTGGTATTGATGCCTAAACTTAAGCACCTAATTCCATGTTTAGGCGCCTTCATAACTGGCTCTTTATCTCAGAAAGTGAGTCTGTTTATAGCAAAGTCTAACTATTGATTTAGATTCCCTGTTTGAGACAGCAGGGCTTGGATATTTTTGCCTTATGCCAAGAAATGAAAGAGTCAGAAGCATTTCCATATTTCTCAATGTCTCTTTCAGCGTGCTTAGTTCTGAGGGTACTACTTTTATCCAGTTACTGATCAGAAGAAGAGTTGTCTAATTTTGTACATTTTATACCATTTATGTTGTGTTTCTAATTTGAAAAAAAATGCAAGAGACTCATAATGACTTAGATTTGTTCTCTAACAAAGGCTGAGCTCGTTTGGAAGCACATGGTGTTCAGAAAGGAGCAGCGATCTGTGTGTACGAGCGCTGAGTTTTCAGGCAGCCGTTCAGCATCGGAACTGCTGCGTGGATCTGTTTCAGTAAAGTGCTGGTGGAGAAAGGTTTATATTATTTAGGGGCAAGGATCGCAGTTCCCAAACCAGGCTTCCTCTGTCCTGCTTATGCACACTAGTGCGTCTACCTAACCATTTTTTGTAAGGAATAGTATTATTCCTAAATTTGACTTATTTTATTAATCTTATTTTTGATTGCTTCGTGTAAGTACTTTTTAAAAATTGCCTGACTGGTCAAGTTGTTTTAGAAAAGTGGGAAGAAGCTTAGCCAGGAACTTAGCAATTTTTACAGCAGTTACTAAAAAGCACTGATAAAACCTGTTGCGGTACTAACATAATTCTGGTGAAGATGCTGAGAGGTGCTGCTGGCAGCTTTTTACTGTGTTAGGTGATAAACTGCAAAAAGAAAACAGGACACAAATTTAGGCAGATTGTAGTTTAATACTCACAGGCACACCTCAGCAGAGATAACGCGTTACCTTGAGTCAATGTACAGGAGGAAGGCAGAAAAATGGTGCTATGTTGGGGGAAAACAAAGACAATCAGGGCTTTCTTCTTGAGCAGCTGCAGCCAGTTCCACTAATGGAAGTGCAAGAGCAGAAACTGGCAGCACAAGGTATGCGTTCGTTTTTACAGATGGCAATGCAGACAAGTTGGTAATTGAGAAGGAAGTCGTGTACGTGAGCTGTTTGACGGGGGACAGCCCATTACAGTACTTTCCTGTGTAATTGACTCGGTGAGTTATTGGAGACAGAATTTCTATTCCTCTTGAATAGGTTTCAGTTGCTGCAAAATGACATCATTATTGTGCGGGAAATGCGGGTTTCCAGGTTGCTTTTTTTTTTTTTTGCTATTGGTATTAATAAAAGTTTTAAAATTAATTTTTGGGTTGTGTCCGTGGAGGTCTGTGTTGTACTCCTGGTAGTCAGTGGCAAAATACACCAGAAGTGAGATCATATCATAGTGTGGTAGCTGCTGTTTAAGGCACTGGAAGGGATTTAAGAATATCAGCTTATGCGAGTTGAAGGATAAGACCTTAAAAACACGTTATATCTAATAAAAGATGGTTGAAGGAAATTGCTTTCTAAGAAGTCATACTTTGTGTAGAATGATTAAGTAAATATTTAACTCTTTGCAAACCAGACTAACATATAGTTCCACCAGAAAATATTTCTCAGTGTTCATTACAAATGCCTCATACTGTAAATATGTATATGTGTATTTATTTAGTCCATGTATATGTATTTGCCCAACAGAAGATCACATATATTTTTAACACACAGTGTTTAAAAATCAACCACCACTAACTGTGGCAAGGAAGTCCAACCCGCAGAAAAAGTTTTATTGTTTCATATTTGTGCCACTGCAGATCTTGAGGGGTAAACTGTGAAATTACCTTCCATCCCTGTTTGGATTAACAGGGAGATACACTGTGAACTACATAATTTTTACCAATAAACGCTCACATGAATGAAAATGAATAAGTCATTGTAAAGTGGATTGTGATTATTTATGTGATCCCATAGTTGCATGTGGCTCTTAATGGATGATTAAAGCGATGGTAAATTCCTGCCTGTGGAGCTCAGGCTCTGGCTGAAGGTGGGTGTCCAAAGCCGGTTCCCTTCCAGCGCAGTGGCGAAGGTTGGGTCAGCTGTAGCTTGGGGGAGGAAATAAAGGTGAGGAGGTGATGGCGGTGAAGAGATCCACCAGCAAGTGATTTAGTGGCTTCTTTGCATAGCTATGTTTTTCTTAATTTAATCATTTATTTTGATCAGCCATTGTTTTACTTTGGTAGCAATCATGACATCGTAAACTAAAATCTTACTAAATCCTTCTTGCTTAGTAAGACACAAAGAGACTATAGTTCGCTGCTTGTTTTTTGGGGTGGGTTTTTTTTTTGAGTAGTAAATGCTGTTATTTCTAAGGTAGCTTTACAAAATGCAGGGAAATGCTACAAATGCTGGGACAAAAACTACTCATCTGCAGTTTTGCTGCTGATAAAAAATAATTGCCGTTTACATGCACATTAAAATATTTACTCTCCCTAAGGGATCGGGGGTGGGATTCTGAAAGGCTGCGCTAGTAGTAATGTTTAATTTACTGTCTGCTTTTTTTTCTCTCTCTAAACCCCCCCGATTCCTCTTATAAAAAGTTTGTAATACAGCATATATTACAAAAAGATTCTGTCACAATAGAGCATTAAAAATTCCACTAAACTTTTTATATGAATTAGGTGTGTAATTTTAACTTTCCTCTTGGCATTTTTACTTTCTTCCTACTTTGCCTTTCCTAACCTCTTTCTTATGCGTCTTTCAAATACAGCTCTTTAATGTAATTGTTCTTGAAAATGTCTTAGATGAAGAGTTTGGATTTGGCACATTAAATTGACTTCAAGAGACATCTGTTAACTCATAGTTAAGGTTGAAAACAACTTCTAATTTAACACTCTGCTTTATGTGTTTTGCTTTTTCTGACAACTTATGCTTTGGGGACGAGAATTTGCTGTGCCTGGTCTATTCCTGAAAGCTGTCCAAGTTATAAAGGGAAGAAAACCCAATGACTTTCTTTTTAATTTAGACATAGTTACAGCAAAAGCAACTAAATTTTTAAAATGTAAAACTTTACAGGGACATAGTTGTGGCTGTTTTCATAGTTGAGAGAGAAAGCAGTTTTGATTAAACACATTCAGAAAGGTCCGAGTGCCTCTGCAGCCAAAAGAAATGAGGGCTGAAAGATTATTTTCGCATCCTAAACAGCAGAAAGTAGCGCTTACTCCAACATCCAGATGCTGCCTTGCTGCCCAGGTTTCAAACTTCAATTAATCTGAGCCTCGCCCAAACTCAGAGAACTGAATACCTCCTCATACAAGGAGGGCAATACCTGGAAAGATGTAGCAGGTGTAAAACAAGAAAATCCTAAATACTCAGAGCAGTGCAAACACAACATATACAGATGTAACCATGAGTGCATTACACTATTTTTCTGAACCGTGTGTTATCAGCCCGACGATTACAGGTATGAGACCAGCTGCTTACAATTGATCCTCTCCATAGCGGGTCACCTGGCTCGTACTGAACCGAGCACGTGCAGGTTTCCTGGCGCCTCCCTTTTGGACCTCCCGTGTTGCCAGAGAGCATCCAGAGCCAGCGTTTTGCCTTTTTTTTCAGTGAGACATGTATGGTTGTAGTCCCCAACTTTGTCATTGGAAATAGGTCAGGCATATGTTTATTCTTGGGTAACATTTATGATTTCTCTGCACCTCGCGTTCTGGAGCCGTGATTACAACGTGCTCCGTTTCTGGCACGGTAGGAAAGCCAGAGATGGTCAAAAAATCCACTCAGGCTTCATCGTATCGTCGTTTTGTGATGGGGAAGTAATCAGCAAAAAGACAAGTAGTGTTGTGTCCAAACCAAGAGGGTGATGTAAGAAGAATGCTTGGCTGACACTTGTGGAGCCTATTTGAGTTTCTAAAAGCATCTTCTGGCAGAAATTTTGAAAACAGGATGTATTTGGCACTAGCAGAGTGTCAGGCACCGTTGCTTAGTCTAGCTAGCTAAAAAGCCACAGTTCCTGAGCAGTGTTTTTGGCTGTGCTTTTACAATATAGATTTTGCTACATGAAATTCAATTGAAATAATAACTGAAAGTTCAGTACATTTTTAAATACATTTTGTATAACTGTGTAGTGTAATGACTCTTCTACATGGCTACAAAGTTTGAAATCGTATAAGAGACATTTTTTTTAAATCTAAAGCAGTGAATGGAAAACAAGGGCCTGATCCTGTCAAGATGCCTGAGTGAATTACTTGTTATGGTATTCTCTGCTGTTTCATTGCTTAGCAGAAAGCACTACAAATAATTTCCTTGTTTCAATGAAATATTGGTAACTAGTGAAAATCATTTAAGGAGTTAAAAAAAAATTAGGCATTGGGGCTTGACGATGTGTATACCAAGTTTCAGACTTGTTTGATTTGAAACGGTCAAGATATGAAACCATAAAAAATGTGAGTAAATACTCTGCATATCAAGGGTTGTTATGCAATTACATGCTTTCAGCATGGTTCTTACTGAGGGAAAACAGTTAGTAGAGAGATCTGCAATACATGTTCAGTGAATAATTACAAACTTTCATAGCTTAGCTACATAAAAATAATCATCCACTTGTTGCTTTGCTACTACTAAAACACTAAAATGTGCGCATACTTTTTTCCCCCAGAGCAAAGCCACTATGACTGTGGATTTGTTAGAAAGTTATCTGAAAAACTTGAAATCCCCTCTGCCCCCCCCTCCCCCCCTCCCCATTTTGGCCAATCTTCAAATTATAAACAGCTGAACTGATTTAAATAAAGTTTTCAGTACCAAAAAAGAAAAGGAAAAAAAAAAAGTTACATCTGGGCTGACAAAAACATGTGCCAAATTTCAGCCCAGTGTGATTTGAGACAACCGTGATATTAAACGCCCAGACCTAGGAACCGGAATGGAAATAGAGACAGGCTCTTCACTGCACTGGCCCCTTCAGGATTTGGGATTGTAATGTAGTGGTTATAAGGCTCCAGATGATTAAAGCTTGACTTAGTACATACATATTTTAGTTATTTAGACCCTTTTGGCTTATTCTTCCAAGGATGTATGGGAAATTTTCATGGGTAACTACAGTTAGTGCTAGTGGCATTGATCGCAGACTGAAACCTTTTTCTCTGTCGCTCAAACCCTCCCATGACTAGTTATGTCGACTTACTTTTTCTGGGCTGATCTTAAGAGATTATTTTACTATGATAAGTATGTGTTCACATTTGAAAAAGAGCAAAAGGTTCCATAACATACTTCTTGAAAATGCTGCCTAGGGTGGTGCTTAGCAGATCACGTGAGCACATGGCTGGGTTTTATGGAGGCTGTTGCACAGACTTTGCTGGATTGGAGCTCAAGTGCCTGTTCCTTTGCGAGACTATCCAGAAAACCAGCAGTATTGGCCATTATTATTGACTGGTACAAACGCTGAGTATGCAAAGCCAAACAGACTCATGCAGAAGAACTATCATCACTAACAGTAGAAGGATCATTACTAATTAAAATTTAGCACACAAAAACCATTTAGATAATTTCTGTTGGCCAATAACTTTTACAAAACTTAGTATATGGGAAGTAAAGGCCTAGGTTTTGTTCTTTTTTTAAGAAACCATATTGGTTTAAGAGAAGAGGACTACGGGCATTGTAGACTTTTAAAAACAGCCTCCGTTTTTTCCTGCAGACATCGTCAAAATTTCTCAGGTTTATTTTGACAAGCAGGTCCGTTCTGTGGTTAGTGGGATCTGGGAGTCAAGAATATTTAGTCCAATTCTGCCACAGTCCTGTTTCACCCCAGGAAATCCATTCTAAATCTGTATGTCCCCACTATAAAATGCTGTTTCATCGCCAAAAAGCTTAAAAAAGTAACAGCATTTAAGTTTTTCCAGAGGTGGTTTAATTCTTAATTCATTAGTATATGTAATCTATGTTGGAACACTTAGGTAGGGGAATAATCATTGTTAATTACCCTGTAAGGTCCGTAATACAGAAATAAGAGAAGGTAAGATGAATTTACACACTTTGCGTTGAATTTAGGGAAGGATGTTTAGCTGGACTACTTTGAAATTTTAAGCAGGTAAGTAGTTTGTAAATACTAAATAAGCACAGATACAGTTTTTTGATACATATAGCTACTACTAGGTATTTTGTAGATTGTTGTCAGCTGTAGTCATTGTATTATTTCATTGCAACTAATGTCCAGTTTGAATCAGATCTTTCTTTAGAAAAGAGAAAAAATGAGTTACTTCTGTCAATGTTTTAAAGATATACTAGTTCCATAGCATTCAGTGAAGATTTCAGTGTTACTACACCTTCTGTCACCATTCTGGTGTGTACAAATGCAGTGTATAAACTACACCGCTTTCTGTATGTTTTAAAAGTCTTCCATGACTTTGTAGAGGGTATTTCCCAAACTCAAGGAACACAAACAGAAATGAAAGGGTGGAAAGACTGACTCAGATGAAGACTCCACTTGGTTAATACACCACACCAAGAAGCCATAGGCCGGCAGACAAAAAGTAGGAATGGAAAGGAACAGCTCTGCAGTTGTATCTGAATCCTGGCCATATACAGTCATTTCCATTTGGAAACTTCTCGCACTTCAAGTGGACCAAATTGAGGTTGGTTTAGTGAAGCTTTATTACACTCTTAAGGAAAATGTTTCAGCAGCCGGGTGAAGTTGTGCAAGGATATGCAACCACCAAAAGAACTGGGAGCTTCAGTTTACTTGTAGGAGAGCGTGCCTTCACAGTGAGCTGCATCTCATACATACTAGTTAGATGTTTGCTGAAGGATGTCAACTACCATTTAGTTCTACCCCTAGTCAAATTGAGAAAAAATGTAGTGTATTACTGCTTCTGATTTAAGAGACAAAGTAGGGGATGATGTAAGGGGGTGAGAGAGAGATTATCTTGATGACAATCTCGATTTTACTGTATCACCTTAAAGTAGCACAACCTGCTGTACTAATGAAATTGTGTTCTTGGTTTAAAAGGGCAGTTGTTAGCCTGATTTTGTGCTCACTAAAAACATTTCCCCAATCTTGTTAAATTATTGCACTCATTTCAGATTTTTATGGCTCTGCAGCTTACCAGCCCTCGTTTCTTTACGTTTCATTCATTTTCCTTGTATTGATGATTAATGGAGGATGTCGAACGTTAGAGTGAGCAGGCATCAGCAAATGCAAGATCATAATTAGTTTAGCTGACGAGGGCCTCTGATAGCACTTGCATCTGGATGGAAAAATTACCCTATAGGGAACTGGCTGCTCACCAGGTCTTTTTAGTGATACATTGTGAAACACCCGATGAATCAAATGCCCTTTCAATGCCAAGAAAGTGTTCCAGTCTTGAAGCCAAAATTATGTCTGCAGAAAGCTTTCCATTTGAAATGTATCAGAGTACAATTATAACCATTGTATTTTTTTGGCATGAACACCAGTGTTCTACAGTATGGACTAAAGTTAAATAAATTACTTAAATTTTATGAAACCGTGAAATTTTGACTTACAGTGTTAGTAATTTTTAATTTATAATAAAATTACTTTTCAGCCAGGCTGTTTTTCCCTGTACTCACCCATTCTTATCTTAGATGCTGAAGGTTTCTTACTGATTTTTTTCCTTTGCAAAAAGGGAACAGAGTTGAAATTCAGATTTTTTTTTTCAGCAAAAGAATTCCATTTCCTGCTTATTAGTATTTGTGCCCGCAAACATAGCCTGACTTTTGTTTAAATGAGAAGTTCAATGAAATCATTACCCCGTAGAAAGAATTTAACGAGCAATACTCATAAACGTGTCTACTTTTAAATATTCCTGGATCATTATGAAAGCTGATGAATCCACAGCTCAGTCTGGTTAAAAATCAATTTGTATTTAGGAAAGTTGTACTGTGCCTTTCTTTGCCTGACTGAAATAAAATAAATAAATCTATCCATCGATGAGACAGTATTTTCTGGGGTTTTGGGTGAAGTTCAAAAGAGGTCTCATTAAGAATACTGTACTTTTATTTGTTCGGCAGAGGTTACTCCTCGTTCTTAGTGGGCTGTGGGAAATATATGGTGGCTTATACTGATTTCAGAAGTAAGTGGGAAAGACTGGAACTGAATATCATTTATTCAATTAATGAAGTATAATCTTTGTTAAAGGAATTAGTATGACGCAGATACGAACTGTAATTAATTGAAGTCGTGGTGTTTCAGAATTCTTGTTACCGATCACACTTTAAAATCGAGCAAACTAGAAAGAAATAAACTGTTGTGAAATGCAGTGAACGAACCCGGAGAAGTTTACAGAATGTTCTCTGTCAGCTTCCAGAGGGGTTTTTCAGAATTTGCTGTTTAGAAACCATCATTAAATGCACAAAACCTGAAGTTCAAAAAGTTAAAGCTGTTATTCTGAAAAGGCTTTGGTGTTTCACACACCTCATCCATCACTCTAGGGTTAATTATAATGAAAATCAGTGGTGCCTATTAAGCACAATTGAACCTGACCTCATTATGGGCAGTGTGGTTTTATACTGTCATTGTTGCCAGTCTAGAGACAAAACTCCTGTGTTGATTTGTCCTAACTCCGCAGCTCATGTGACTCACCTCTGACCTGTTTTTTTTTTCTGTGTGGTTTTTTTTTTTTTTTCTTTTTCTTCCCTATTTCAGAGACGTAGAGGCTCGGGTGTTTTTTGTGCCAATTGCCTGACCACAAAGACCTCTCTCTGGCGAAAGAATGCAAATGGTGGATATGTATGCAATGCGTGTGGCCTCTACCAGAAGCTTCACTCGGTAGGAAGAACTTACTGGTTTGTTCAGAAAAAAAGGGGTTATACAGCTAAGCTGGGCAGCTGTGGTCTTGTCTGGTTGTGTGATTAGTACCACTCCCTGGCCTGCAGTTAATTTCCTAACAGGGTTTTGCAGTATGGTCACTTTGGGATCAGATGTGATTCATTATGAAACAGGCTGGGATGCTGTGGGTAGACATGTTTGAGATCACCAGTGATACACTTAATTATTTTGATACAAAATAAGGGGAAAATTATTTCTTTTCTGGGAATTCCATTTAAAGCCATACAATATGTTGTGATGAAAGCTCTCTAAATTCAAGAGCCCTCATGTTCATAATAAAATTTAAAAAAAAAGATTCTTAAAGTTAGACATCATATCTACATCAAAAATATCCTTTGCTGTGGTTTTTGTTTTCTTTCACTTCTCTTCCCCCCTTTATTCTTGACAGTAAATTTCCTGGAGATATGGGGTGGTGGGTTTTTTTATTCTTTTTTCTGCAGTTCTTATAGTCTGCTGGAGGATTCTGAAATAACTCAACAAGGAAGCTACTCACTTGATGGCACTCATCACTTGGTGAGGGGAAGATTCACCATCCCTCAGGATCAGGCAGGGAATAAGTCATAATCATGAACTGTCTACATTGCTTTTCATCTTATTGACACTTGGCTTGATCCTGAAAGATGTTGAATGCTCTGGTCGAGGTCCAGGAAAGCCATGCTTAAGTGTTTCCTTGGATCAATGCCAAAATGCTCAGAATCTTTTAGGTTAAGACCCGCTAGTTAAATATTATCCCTGCTATCTTTAATAGAAGCACATGGGAGAGTCAGGTGATCAAAATTTGACTCTAATGAATTAATTTTTACAACATGCCCCTGGAGTTAAAAAGTGTTACTATTTTTCAGAAATAGAAACTGAGGCAGCCTGTGAGAGTTGGCCAAGGCAACATAACAATTTAGGCTTAGAGCCCAAATCAGAAATCTGTGTTGTGACTGAGAGTGCATATTTTTAAAGACTTTTTTCAGAAATTCCATTTTCAAAAAAAAAAAAAAAAAGAAAAAAAGCCACTTAGGAAACTATATTTCAAATGCATTAAGACTCCCAAGTGCCTATGCCTATTTCTCTTTAAATTTGAGGCATAAGCTTCTAAATCATTTAGTAGTTTCTGTGAATTTTAACCCTTGATCTTGTGTACAGGCCACATAACAATCCTCTTTACTAAAGATCCTGTCCAGCCCAATTAATAAAAAAGAAGAAGATTCCAATTTTTGAAAGCAGCAAGGCCATCACCAGTCTGAAAGGTTAGCTCTGTTTGCCATGTGCTGTCATTCTGAGATCAGTAACTGTTTTCAAGCTTCAGAACAACCCAGCCAGTCAGAGAGCATCTGAGCAGGAAAAGATGGACTAATGCACGATCTGTGGCAAGCATCTTGGCTGGGTCTTGCTGAAGGTATCTTCCTGGACATCTCTCGAAGTTCTAGATAGAATATCTAATTTAAGGAAATTGATCCATGGTGAGCACCCGCAAAGATTTTAAGGAGGGAAGTTTAAAGGGCTTTTTAACATTAATTTGACGTTTGAGTCCAGTTATTTGTAGAACTTCCGTTCACAGCCCCCATTTTCCCTTTTTTTAATATATTTTTCTAAACTATAGTGTTGGACCTTACCGTGATTATTAGTATAACTTATTGAATAGATAAAAGCCACAAGAATCAGTTTTGAATTCAAACACGTAGCACAGATAATACTTATGAACCAGTAGGAATAAACCAGTGTGCTTCTAACAATAATAATTAACAATACAATGTCAAACTTTATTTTGTGCATATAGAAAGCAAGAAGCTGACACTATCTTTTAGCTCCACTGTTCAAGCATGGCAATAAGCTGTCATTCGGTGGACATTTGACATTAATATCTTCAATTGAACTTTGACCAAACAAACGCAAAGAATTTAATTAAGCCTTCACTCTGCTGTGATATGATAGCAACTCCATTGTAAATTGGAGTCTGAAATAATCAAACAAATCTCTCCTGTGGGACACCTTTTGAGACAGTCCCATGCAAAGGGATGCTCTTTAGACTGACACCAGAAAGATGAAGGTTTCTTTTATCTGTCTGCCTGTCTGCTCTTCCCGAAAAATTACAGTAAGTAATTGTCATGTATGTTTTTTAATTAAGGAGTCTAGGTTGATGCCGTTATTAGGTAAATGTCTGAAACTATAAAAATTCAAGGGAATAGAACTGTTCCCTTCGATGAGCCACCCTGTTAAACTAAATTATGCTACACAGCTGAGTAAAATTCACCTATAGCAGGTTTGCACATTTCATAGCTCCTTTTTGATTGGATTATCACTATTTAGAACTACTTCCTCATTAACTCAAGAATGTGTATAAAACACTTCTCTCTAAGGTCCATTTCTTACTTGTGTCTAATAAGAAGAAAAATCTATGGTCTATCAGATACTACTAGTGGTAGTGACTGACAAATGTTAATATGGTAGTGATTTCTGCTGTAAGTCACATTTCCATTTCTATGATACCCTTGAATAATTTTTCAACATGTTTTCAAAAATGTCCAATCTATCTAGAGGTCATTTACATTAAACTTGCCAGTTTTTTCACATTTTTCTCCTCTAATGCAGATAACTGTGTTAAGAAATGTGTAATAATATTCCAACGGTCAATTAGTAAAATAGTTTTAGTGAAAAAAATGCAGTTCACTGCAAACATATATATAATATTCACATTTGCTGACAGAGAAAGGTATATCCCTTGTCTCCCAGAATCATGAATTTGACCATTATTATTGTGGTGCTGTTCCTCATGTTTTAATAGCTCTAACTTGGTCATGGAAAACTAGATTTTGTTCCATAGTGATTCCTTGGCCACATCCTCGGACTAGTTCAATGAGGAGTTACAGCAGGTTATTCTAGGATTAGACGTACGTGATCTTCTAGTGGAGAGATCACTCCAATTTCCCATGATATCTAGGAAGTCTAATCACAATAATTTAATGAACTATTTGTTGAATTTTGTGATTTTTACTCATATAGAGAGATTGCCAATTGATACAGAGATGGCAGAAAAATCTTTGTGATCATACTCAATGTACTATGTATAACATATAATTACGGATCTGACATAGGGCATTTTAAAAGTAAAGTTCTGGTTGTTTCCACTATTTTCTAAATTGAATGCCCCACTGAAAATCAAGAAGAGAGCTTAAGCTTTTCTGTCTGCTTTAGTTGCAACCAAATACAGAATATTTCTATGTGCACCTTACTACTATGAATAAGGAAAACGTGAGTAGCTTTACTCCACTGAGTAATCTGTTTTAATCAGCTAAAGACTAGTCAGATGAGTGCAGTCATCTGCATGCTGAAGAATTTTTAAGTTGGACCTACAGCCTTTAACTCCTAATGGCATGTAACTTTGAAGAGCCAGAGCTGCAAACAGGTGTGTGAGGGTCCTTAAACACAGGTATGAAGATGTTTCTTTTAACTACTTCCACGATCAGACTTCATACCTGTAGCGTGAAGAGTAAGACTAAAAGTATTTCCAAACTATTGAAAGGTTATCTGGAAGCCATATGAAAATGGTCTGTAGTGTATAAATAAAAGTTTAATAAGAGCAACATCAACAATGTTGTAAGATCTCACACAGCATGTCAGTATGACAATGTTACAATTGTCATAAAAAGGTGAGGAAATTACACTGAGCTTGTAATAAAGAGTATATGCTTATGCATATTAATTGGCTATTGATTCTGCAAACTATAAACTTTATTTGCATAGAATTTACATAGAAAATATTCTAATTTTATCTAACATGATTTTGCCTCAACTTTGATCTGTTTGAGGAGGCTGGTTCAGGTGCTGTTTTTCTGCTAAGTTTAAATTCTGCTTATTAAAAATCTAAATCAAAGTTTCTTCTGATTCAGAGTTTTAATAGAAAATAAAATCTTAACAAGTAGCTGCACTGCCTAAAATGTAGTTAACCATTAAGAATAAGCCGACCTCAGGGAAATAAATAGGTGAAAGAGGCGAGGAAGATGGCAAGTCAAGAGAGAAACTAGATCTCTAGAAATAGTAGAGTGAGCGCTCTTCCAGCTCTGGCTATTTTTATATTTATTTTTATTTTTATATATATTCAAGCTTATGAATATATATAAATTATGTTACATTCAAAATACAAATTGTTTTGGATATTGACTGTATGCCAAAATTTAATCTGCACTTTAATTTGCACTTTAAAACAATGTTAAAAAGAAAATTTCCAAATAAACATATAAGTGGAATACTGTGTGGGACACTTTTCTGGCCTGCAACTGCCAGCACACCAAACTGAATGACTTTTGGGTAGTTTTTGTTGTTTTAACATCTGCCCAGTAAAGCAACACATACTGACGTTATAGCACCATCTTTCGTTCACATAGCATTGCCTTCCTCTTGAGGGGCCTTTCAGAGAGGCCTGGCTGCTGTCCTTCCTTGTACTATTTTTTTTTCTTCACGCAAAAGTATTTTCAGTTCTCATCTAAATAGGCCACCTACCCTGAGCTGGTGTGGGGAAGTAGGAAATGGAAACAGAAGTCCTTGCTTGGTTCTTGCCTCTGCCTCTTCCGCCATGCTTTTTTCTTTACAGACTTTTTTTGCCACCTTCAGGGGATACCTTCTCTCCCTCATGACTTAGTAGGACAACATCAGTAACATTTAGAAAGAAATACAGTAGGGAAGAAGGAGGAGGAGTTGGTACCAAAGTCCCAGGTGGACCTTTTGGTGCATAGAAAAAGTTTTCCTGGGCTTTCTTCTCCATCTTTCTTAGTCCCTTTCCTGCCACCATCATCCCACTCACCTCCACAGTGGACCTGCAGCCCTTTTGCTAGGTGACAGCAGTGGTGGTCAGCAAGCCCTCTATTTGCTTGCATTTTCTATCCGTGTCAAAGTGGGATGGGTATCAAGGTAAGTGTTACTCAATTCTTGTCACAGTGTGATCTGTGCAAGCCCTTGTCCGATACCAGCTCTGGTGACATGGTGCATAGAATAACGCTAGTGCACAGGGCCGTGCATCTCCCACCTCATTCCCAGCTCTCAGCACCCACTTTCAGCACGTCTCCCCCAGAATTTTTCAGGAGTAAGGATTAATAAATCCTTTGACAGCTTGGATACTTCATGCCTTTTTAAGTAAACAGTTATAGTATGTCTAGGCAGTTGACTTAGTTTGATAAAACAAACCAATTCATAGTTTACTTTTAGCATGAGGGGCCAGGAACCAGCATTTGGGTTGAAATTTGGTCATTCCCATAAAACTCTTATAGTATAGTTCTTCACGAAAGAAAAGATAAATTTGCGTGAGCATGGTCTCGCAGATTTGTTTAATGTGTCTTTCTTTTTTCCTTTTGTTCATTATGTGTGTGTTCCATGCAGACTCCCAGGCCTTTAAACATCATTAAGCAGAACAATGGTGAGCAGATCATTAGGAGACGAACAAGAAAGCGCCTTAACCCGGAGGCACTTCAGGCTGAGCAGCTAAACAAACAGCAGAGGGGTAGCAGTGAGGAACAAGTCAATGGAAGCCCCTTAGAGAGGAGGTCAGAGGATCATTTACCTGAAGGTCATCAGAGAGAAATTCAGCTTCCCAGCCTCAGTAAATATGAGGCCCCAGGTTCATTGACTAAAAGCCATTCTGCTCAGCAGCCAATATTGGTCAGCCAAACTCTGGATATTCACAAAAGGATGCAACCTTTGCACATTCAGATAAAAAGTCCTCAGGAAAGTACTGGAGACCCAGGAAACAGTTCATCGATATCAGAAGGGAAAGGAAGCTCAGAGAGAGGCAGCCCGATAGAAAAATACATGAGACCTGCGAAACATCCAAACTATTCACCACCTGGAAGCCCTATTGAAAAATACCAGTACCCACTTTTTGGACTTCCGTTTGTACACAATGACTTTCAGAGTGAAGCTGACTGGCTGAGATTCTGGAGTAAATATAAGCTGTCTGTTCCTGGGAATCCACACTACTTGAGTCATGTGCCTGGCCTACCAAATCCTTGCCAAAACTATGTGCCTTATCCCACCTTTAATCTGCCTCCTCATTTTTCAGCTGTCGGATCAGACAATGACATTCCTCTAGATTTGGCGATAAAGCATTCCAGACCTGGGCCAACTGCAAATGGTGCCTCCAAGGAAAAGAGTAAGGCACCACCAAATGTAAAAAATGAAGGTCCCTTGAATGTAGTAAAAACAGAGAAAGTTGATAGAAGTACTCAAGATGAACTTTCTACCAAGTGTGTGCACTGTGGCATTGTCTTTCTGGATGAAGTGATGTATGCTTTGCATATGAGTTGCCATGGTGACAGTGGACCTTTCCAGTGCAGCATATGCCAGCATCTTTGCACGGACAAGTATGACTTCACAACTCACATCCAGAGGGGCCTACACAGGAACAATGCACAAGCTGAAAAGAATGGAAAACCTAAAGAGTAAACCTTAGCACTTAGCACAATTAAACAGAAATAGGTTTCCTTGATGGGAATTCAATAGCTTGTAATGTCTTGTGAAGACCTATAAAGCACTTCATATAGAGAGCATGCCTTATCCAATATTAAATCCCTTGTTCTTTTCTTTTTTTTCTTTTTCTTCTTTTTTTTTTTTCCTTTTTTTTTCTTTTTTTTTTTTTTTTCCTTTTAAATGAGTGGGTTACCAAGAAAAAAAGAACAGTTGGACGGTGGCCAGAAGGTGGAGAAGATAATTGTATGGGTCACGGCCCACCAAAGCTAGCCAGAATGCAGTGAATCATGGCAAATAACCTTGAGAAAATTTTACCGGACAATTAATACCTTTGCTATTGTGTAAGAGACATAACTGACAAGAGTGCAAAGATGTGTATATGTATATACTGCTGCAGGGGTATAGTGAACATATGCACATTGTATATAAGAACTAGACTTGTTAAATATACAGATGTTAAAAGGTCATTTTCTTTTCTTTAATTTGGGCTAATTTCTGCCCTACAACATGCCTTAGGATCATTTTGTCCTCAAAGCTTTGGCAGCAATTTCATCTAGATGTTTCTCAGACTCAGCTGATTTTTAGCTACCATTTTATCACTACATTCTTTCTGGCACACTTTAGTCTAGGAAAACCATTTTGTGCAAGTGAAGTCTCTAATACAGAAGCCACACTCCGCGTTTAATTTGCATAGAACAAGGTAACCTGCTGTATTTTATTTTAATATATTTTTAATATATTACATTTCTAAACCTTGAAGTCTAAGGTTACTTCTCCACAGGCTTAACATTGCTATACATACCAGTCAATCCCTTCAGTAGACTTATACCAGCTTTTGCTAAGTAGCATTAAATGTCTTCATAGTACTTTTTAATACTTAAAGCTTTGTAAAAACTATCCATGAAGGGAAAGCTCCTCAGCATAACTGCTCAGGGAAATAGGGCTAAATAACTAAATATTAAATAATTGGTTAAAGGTGCTGTTAGACGAGCCTCCATGCTTGCTACAAGGGTGTACAAGAACTGACTTTAATCATTTTCATTATAGTGTCCCAACCAGTAGTTTATTATTTTGCCACAGGGATGTAGAAGATATTACAAGCTACTGGATGCACTGTCAGATTAACTTATTTCATTAAAGAAGTTGGGAGAACAAATAGAAAAAACCTTATTTTTCTAGTAAATATTAATGTATTACATTTCAAATAATGGTGCCTGACATATTGAATAATTATTTTCTACAGTGTACGTATGCAACAAAGATATTCCATCATGCATTAGAGTCAGTTCTGGCTCTGCCTCGCTGTTTACATTTGCAAATGTAGCAAACAAGGTAATGAAGCAACTATTTCTATTGCAGTAGGTATCTTTTTTTCTGTGTGTGTGCATTAAAGTTGTAAACGATAACATGAAATGAATGAAATTTGTTGATATTAATGGTATGGAAAAACAAGAAGGAAATGAAAATATTTTTATGCCTACTTAGGAAAAAAAGGGTAGCACTATTCATTCCAAGTACTTTTGTATTCTTAAGCTCTTAACTCACATTGTTATGCTTAAAATGATAAACATATATCCTCTTTTTATTGCTTTGTCTGTGTTTCAGAAGAAACATTTCAGAAATTATTTTGATAAGTGCTGTTTGACGATGCAGCACTGATGTTTTATTGCATTCTGTAGTAGCATTGCACTCCATTTTTACAATATTACGCAGTTGCTTTTTTGTTTTGTTTGGGTTTGTTTCTTTTTCGCAGTGCAGGGTCTTAGTTCCTTATGGTTGGATGGCAGGTGTAGCTCAACTGGTTCATGAATGTTGCAGCGAATGAAGTTTAAAATGTCTTTCTGATACTATGTTGTCTTTTATTTCTCCATTCATGCATTTTATTTTTTAAAATGTTCTATAAAAATATCTCTGGACTAAGTCCTCACTTGAGATTATATGTAAAGGGTCCTATTTTGATCTCACTTACATGCCGCCTTTCTCAGATTTTCATGTAATTGAAACTAAAGCATCATAAAAAAAAAGTTCTTGTATTTAACTTACCTGAATCTCACCACTCTCCCTTCTAGAATTTGGTGCACTTATAAGATACTTAACCAGATAGACAGGGAGGTGGAAGATAAAAGGAGAAGTGATAGGAAATGTCTTATAGGGGTTGGCAAAAGGAAAACCAGGGAGGAACTGGCCTAAACATTCAGCACTTTGATAGTCTTTTGAAAAATAATGTGCCTAAGGCAGTCGGCAACGAACATCACCATGCATGAGAAGCACTTACACAGCTGATCACCAAAGGTCTTGCTGACCTTGGCAGTATTTTAGGTGTTACATTTTTCACACAGATGAAACGTTATTGCACAGTTTCTCTGATTTGTTAGGCACGGACAGGCTATTGTTCAGCATTAGGCTTGCATTCCTTCCTGCTCCGCCCATTGCTTCTATACTGGTGAGCAGCATATGGAAAGTCCCGCTCAATCTGTTCACGGTTGAGTTCTATAACCCTTCAATAGTGTTCTAGGTTAGCAAAGGATATTGGGCCACATTCTTCTTCTTCTATTTTTTAGATGAATCTCCTGCTTGATACCAGTGCCAGACAAAGTCTGGTTATGTTTTTACTATTGTTCTCCAATAATAAGTTCTGACTTGGTTTTTGTGGATTTATTTTTGTTGGGTATTTTTTTGTTTCTTTTTTTTCTGTGGGGACTGAAATAGATTGCCCTCGTTTTGTTACGTCAGGGTCCAGTGTGTGTCCTTTTCAGCTTTTCCAAGAAACATGTTAGACTCACTAAGCAGTGATTTTTATCAGCTTCAGCGGTAGCTGCCTGCCGGTTATCAGTAGTTACTGGTTTGACTTACTTCTTCTAAGACCTACCAGTTCCTGTGGCTTCTTCATTGATGGAAGCTGCATCTTCATGGCAAAATATTTTATGGGGGACATGCGCATAATAAGACTTGAGCACCACCCTGTACTTCATAACACCTCTTGCTAAACTCAGAAGCAGAGGCCAATAACAGGAAATACACATATATCAGGGTTTGGGGATGAGGAGAAATGAAATCTTATGAGTGCAAAGAACAAGACAGATTTTTTGACAATGATATTGCACACCTAGATGCAAATAAAATTTGAAAAAAGCTCGTTGTTCTTGCCATGACATATTGAGATGTTCTAAGATTTCTGCTATGTAAGAAATGGGGTTTTGCCAGAGCCTGTTCTCTTTGATTGGGGTGGGGGGGAGCACAGGTTTTTTTCTTAACAGAGAGGTGACTCCATCCCTCTTCCAGACCCCCTCACAATGGATATTAATCAAAAGAAAACTAAATCCTGACATTGAAAAAGAATAATCTTATTTAATAACTCTCAGGTAGAAACCAATGTTAGCACACACAAGTAATTACTGCACCCACTGCATTTTGATCAATTTACAGCACTAAGAATTAAACTTTCAAAGAATCATTCTTTGTTCTCAACTTGCCAGTGTCTTCAAGGTGGTGTACTTCTCTTACTAAGGAATGGTAGTTTGAGGTCTTAAAATGTATCTATCTCAAATTGGACCACAAACGAGTAGATGGTTCAAAACCAGAGGATTTCTGGTCCCTGTCATTAATCAGATTGCAGAACAGGAACAGTGTTTCCATTAACACTCTGTATAGTGGGAACCATCATGCAGCATCCTTTGCAAATCAGACTCTAAGCTATTACCACTTCGTGGCTGCTGCCCCCTAGGTTAATGCAGTGGGAGACGAAGATTTTCCAGAATACAGTTTGCGTTCAGGTGCTAAACTCAGAGTGCTTTCCAAAAGAAGTTTTGCACCCAGAACAGGAACAGTGTTTCCATTAACACTCTGTATAGTGGGAACCATCATGCAGCATCCTTTGCAAATCAGACTCTAAGCTATTACCACTTCGTGGCTGCTGCCCCCTAGGTTAATGCAGTGGGAGACGAAGATTTTCCAGAATACAGTTTGCGTTCAGGTGCTAAACTCAGAGTGCTTTCCAAAAGAAGTTTTGCACCTAATTGCCACTGTGCTGATGACCGCTTCCCCCCAACCCCCTCCCCATCCCCCCCACCCCTAAATTTTTCATGGACCATCCAGAAAGGGCGGGGAAGAACACTGGATACTTGTATCTTGGTTTTGCCTAGAAAATGTACTGTTACACTTTGTGACAGTTTTAAAGAGAGAGAACATAGAGACATCTCAAAAAGTTGAGGCATACGGTGGATGAGAGTTTGTTTTTGCGGTTAGAGGGGCAGCATGACAAAAGTGACCAATACTAATTGTATACAGTGCTGAAACATAGTGGTTGTGCAATGGGGAGACCTGATTTGGAACCATGGATTAGTCCTCAGTTCAGGGACGGACTTTCAAGTCCATCTTTGGACTGGACAGTGTCGCTTTGTAGTCATAACGACTTGCTTTATGTGCTAAGGGTGTTGTCTACCATCTGCTTTTTGCCCAGGATGTCTAAATATATTCCCGTTCTTGCTCCTGTATTGATTTTTCTTGGCTGACTTAACATGCTAATTCCTAATACTGGTCAGGAAAAGCCAAAGAGGTTAGAAGTTCACTTCTGTTCAGCCAGAAGGGTAGATATATTTCCTACTGCTTCTGTGGAGACAGTTATGCTTGGCAAAGAATAACGAGCAATTTGTCAGTGTATCCCAAATGCGATAGATAAGTGAGAAATCCCCTCTAAACTTTTCTATAAAGTCAAGATGGGCCAAGTAGAATTATTTACATAATTTCCTCACCCCAGAATAGGATTCCTCCATACTCTCTTCCTCACAGTTTCATTTCATTCAGCCAGCTCTGGAAAGCTGGCAGTTGGTGAGATGCTACCTATATAGTAATCACATATACCCCAATTTACTTCTTTTTAAGAGGATAAAAGACAATGATTTAATGGCTGCCAGCCAGATAAATACCAGTTTCATTTATTTTTTGAGTACACTTAGTAAAGTAAAATTCTTAGAACAAACATTGTAACAGCAACCACAGTTTTCCATTCCTATCATTTTGGCCTCTGAGCTCTATGTCGAAGGAGAACAGGAGAAAAGGAAACATCTCAAAATGCCATTGTAAATTTAGCTTATAGGAAATTCACCAGCAGGAAAAGGAAAAAAAAAAAAAAAAAGTAAAAAAAAAGTACTTCATAAAGAATGACTTCATGTTGCTAAAAACCATCATTAAACTTGT